ACTCAGTTCACTCAATCATAACTTATGCACGAAGATCAAAATATCTTTATGAGGGTTGTAATGGGGCTAGGGTGAGAGGTAGGATAAACATTTTGGGAAATGTGAGAGTTGAGCTAGCTGGGAAAGTGGTAATAATAGTATATGATAACAACACAGCCAAATGCATGTCAAAGATAACCTTGCTTAGCATCTAACCTCTCCATACACCATAAAAACCAAAACAAAAATCACTATACACCAAAGTAATTTGATTTCCTCTTCTTTCCTTCTTTCTTTATAGATTTTTTTTTCTTTTTCATTCCTTCATTCTCTCTTTTTTTTTTCTTTTTCTTTTATTTCTTTTTTTTATACCCCATTTATCCTACTTTTTCTCTTCCTTTTTTTTCATTTTCATATTTTTTTTTAGCAACCTTGAGCTTCCATTCAAAATCTCCTTTATTTCACCACAAAGCATATATTTAGCCAAATAAAAACCACAAATCACAACATAGACCACTTCCCCAAGCTAAGATTGGAAATAGTAACCAATTGAGGCCAAAGGCTTGTAATATGGCTAATTCAATGAAGGGTAAAGCTCAACATGGGTAACAATTAAGGAGCAAATGTACAAAAGTAACATCTGGAGGCTCAAATAAGAAAAAGAAGACCTTTATCATTTCAATCACGCACTCATCACAACCAAATTACTACGAGTCTCAAGGCAAAATCAAGATCAAAATTGCACCAGGAACTATCACACACACAAAAAATATAGACTGTTATAAATGTGTCTGTCAATCAATCAGGTTCAAAAAAACTCACATTGGCTTGGGGTCTACAAAAATATCGACTAGCTAGACTCAAAAAGAGCAAAACATCTTTCCACAAACCAATTAGTCGCAGGCTACATTGCTACGTTGTTATCAATGTATAAAGAAGACCGACCGAATTTCAAAATCATAACTATGATGAGAAGAAGCTCAAGAGAGTCAAATCTAATCCGCACACGATTCGAAGTCAAACAAATGAAAAATAGGCACAAGAATGTATTATTCAAAAACAGAACTAAACTAAGAAAGCAATACATTTTTTTTCGTTGCCCGTAAACACCCACTCCTAATGAATGGTACAAACCGTACAACAATCCTAGTAAAGAAAATAAAACTACACTATGAAAGCAATTAAAGATAGACATCCCTCCCCCAAGCTAAATGAAACACAATGTCCTCTCTTTGAAAAATGCATAAAGACAAAAGGAAAGGGAAGAAAATTGCTCACTGATCAGGAGCTGGACCGGGAGCAGCATCACCGGTATTAGGAAGAGGTTCCTCTTGTGCAGTAGTGGTGGCAACTTTAGCAGGTTTGTCTCCTCTAACTGAGCAACGCAGGCTCTTGACCTCCTTACGAAGATTGACTACATGACCCTTGATGATGTTGAATTTCTTAGATGTCTCTTCTCGAAAGGAGGTGAAAGAATTCAAAATATCTTATAATTCCTCCTCTATAGTCAATGAAACATCAGTAGTGTCTTGAGAGGAAGATCATGTCTCTCTAGGCTCGACATTAGTAACATGTGGTGGTGCTTGGGTTCCGGTCATCTGTGGTAGAGGTTAGGAACCTGACTGACTAGCATCTGCATGGTTTGGAGCAAATAACCATGAATCATCACAATTTAAATGAGCCTCGACACGTGGGAGGTAAAAGTAGCGCGTTTTCCGTTGTCCTTTCAAATCCCCCTTTAAGCACCAAACATAACGAGTGCCACTCCCCCTTCTCTCCAACTCAATCCATTCAAAACGTTTCATTGCATCAATATCTAATGACTTATGTTTTGAAACTGGAGTCTTACCCCTAGTAGATAGTCCCAAGAACTTGGAATTACAAGTAATAAACCCCCCACAGTGGATTTCACTAGACTCATCACGAACATTGATAAAAGAGCAAATCAAGAAAATCCCATAATCTATATGACCGTGTTGTTCCAGATCATCACTCATTAAGAACCATAGGTGCCGGAGGTCACTAGTGCATACTTGAGTCATGCCTATCTTAGGATAGAAGGCACCCTTAATCAACCAGTGAAGCATTCTCATGGTTGGATTAATAATTGACGATGACTTGCAATGACTACCTCGCCAATCTCCCGTATCAGTAATTTCAGACCAAATTCATCAGCATAAAATAGATCCTCCTCCTTGATGAGACCATCAAGAAAAGTGTCGAAATTGTCCGGATGAATCACTCTTTTTTGTTTCCAACCAAAGACCTCGTTTAACCTATCAACTGACATTTGGTGTTTCTCTCCATCAAGCTGAAATATTATATGCAATTTATGTTGGGGTTTGGTGAGTCCCACTCACCGCGGAAAAAAAAAACCCGAGCCAAGGATCTCGCTCGCAATAAATAATATCACAAATGCATAAATAAACATAAAAGGGAAAAATAGGAAATTTACCTTTGGCGAATGCTTCGCCCCACAAAATGGGCTCTTACTTGAGAAACTTAGCCCCAAAATTACGAGAGCCTCTAATGGAGATCCACCCGCAAAAACAACTACCAACTTTTAGGTCCGTTACGTCAAGGTTAGCGAGGTCCGACCAAAACCCGAGTATTATGTGAGTTTAAGAGTTTTTGCTAATGCAATTCTCTATTGAACTCCTACTCAAGCACTCTTCCCAAAAACCTAAGATGGGTATTTATAGGAAAGAGGGAGAGTGGGAATATTTATCCCATCAATGTGGGAGGATGAAATTCCACAATTTATTCTAAAGCTAAATTAAAATAAATAAGCAAACTAATAATAAATCTACAAGTGTCACTATTACATGAAAAGGGGAAGTGATGACCACTTGGAGAGTAGGGGACCATACTTGCTCCCAAATCCATATTCTCCTTGTGCCACTTGTCCCTCACCCACTTGCTTATGATTTTAGGCCCTAATACCCGTGCCTTAGGCCCAGCTGTAGCCCTACCGAAGCCCAACCCAACACTTGGAGTTGCGGGCTGCTGCTATGGCTAGCAAGCCATGCACTCCAAGTGCGGGCTGCTGCTAGCAGCTGCTGGCTTGGTGTGCTTGCGGCTGCTAGCACGTACCAGCCAGCCACCCTTGGCTCGGCATGGTACGGTGCGCATGCTAGCCACCTGTGCTAGCATATTATGCCCCTAGCATTTGGATGCTCGGGGAATTCCGATGCTAGGGGTATTTTGGGAATATTATCGATTTATTATTATTTTGCGCGTCTCGTCATTTACTATTTTTTACTCAACTTCCGACGCTCGGTCTCGACGCTCTAAGCTTGAATTTTCGACGTCTAAATATTTAATACTCAGGCGACTCATTAATTTCTTCCGAATTAATTCGTCGAGTTGGTTTATTAATTGCTTGGGTATGACCCGAAGGGTTCAGTCTAGATTAAGTTGTAATATTAATTATACATTAATATTACTGATTGGAAGCGGCCTCCACCTAGGCATTCCGATCACTTGACCTTACTGAATATATTAGCTTCCTAATAATTCTGAACCCACTATCAGAATAATACATTTGTTCGAAGGACACCATTCCTTTCAATTTAGGACAAGTTTTCAAACACCCATGGACTTAAAGAGAAGCCAAAAATTCATATGTCTAGACTTTATAGGTGTACTCCTCAAAGTTTTGGAATTTCTCCCATGAACAAGAGGATAAGGCCCATATAATGCTCCCATATAAACCTAACTTTCCAGCACCTTTCTTTGAATAAATTAGTGTAGGGTTTACGAGACGGGTAAGGATATTGTTAAATAGGCACTTATGTGCGGGGTCAGGGAAAGAGGGTTGGCTTTCATATTGAGGTCAGAGAATAGGAGGGGGAATTATAGTTGGGGAGGCTGATGGTTAAGGGGCTTTGGACAGGGGTTTGTTCTTGGAGATTGGCTTGCTTTGTGGTATTGTTTTAGTGGCGTTTCGTTTGGGATTAGTCCTCCTAGCTGCAGTCATGACTAAATAATAATCACATGAACTACTGCACAGCCTTCAACAATTCACCAATTAGAAACACAAACCAGAAAATCACAGATTAATATTCAAATCAAGTTTAACAATGTGCAACAAGAATCGTCCAAAAATCAATCAATAATCAATAATCAATAATCCAGAGTAACAACCCAAGCTAAGGTATGTGTCCAAACAAATCACAATTCACAAATAAGTTCAAAGATAGAGAAGAAAATTGATCACAAAACCATTATGAACTTGTCGATTAGGCCCAAATCTGATGTCATCCCCTATATAAATGCTAAATAAAAAGTCCAAGACTCCAATTTGCTCCAATGTGAATGAAATCAAAAACCCCTATTTCAATTGAAAAAGTTAGGGTTTGCACAAGAGGTGTGATTTGGGGAAAATAGGTGAATTGGTGGTATTAGGGTGGTTATAGGGTGGCTAAAAGTGGTCGTCGGCGGCCAGAGGTGACTCGCCGGCGGTGGTTGTGAGGTTCGGAGGTGTGGGCTGCTAGGATAATGATGGAGCGGTAGGAAAGAGTCGTGGGTTTTGAGAAGTAGGGGAGTGAAATTGTGATAGACTTAGAACATGTGTGCTGTTAATGGGTTGTAAAAGAGGAGCTATAGCTCACTCGTCAAGGAGCTCTCGCTCGGGCATCCCGTGGGGTGTAGTAGCAACGAGCTATAGCTCGTTCATTGAGCGAGCTATCGCTCAGAATGCCGATTGCTCTCGATCAATGCGAGCTAATTCGCGAGCTATCGCTGCTTCGCGCTACAGGTACAACGTCAACTTCATAGGGTTGTAACTTCTGATTTGTAAGTCATATATAAGCGTGAGACCTACCATTGGAAAACTCTTCAAGTCTAGTTTTCAACCCAACTTGAATCATATCAATCCGACCTTTATAACTTAATTTATGGCTGAAAGAGTGGATGAAGGTCTATTTTAACAATTTATTTATTTGCATGCTGGGTTGTTTTTGCACGAAAAATCAGCTTCTGACCTTTGTCACTAAACCTTTGTACTTAACATCCTTAAATCACCTGAAATCATTCAATAAAATTTTGAACACCACTCTAAAAATCATTAGCATCGTTAGTTCAAGATATCAGTGGAATTATTAAAAATCGAATTCAAGTGAATTCAAAAATAGAAAAAAAGAACTACGAAAACAACTAAACTAAGCAAAATATCGGGTTGCCTCTCGATAAGCGCTCATTTAGAGTCATGAGCTCGACTTCTTACCTCAAATTCAAGCATCATTATGTGGGTCAGAGAGATAAATCGTCTCCAATCCACCAATGAAAGCACGTTCGGTATAGAGTTTCAAACGTTGTCTTTTCACCTTAAATTTGGAACCATTTTCACTAGCAGCTTCGATAGCTCCATGATCTTTAACCTCAATAATGGTGAAAGGTCCGGATCACCTAGACTTAAGCTTACCTGGGAAGAGTCGAAGTCCTGAATTGTAAAGCAGAACTTTATCAATAACATTTAACTCACGTTTTTGAATCATCTTGTCATGAAACTTTTTCTTTTGCTTCTTATACAACCTGTGGTTCTCATAAGCTTCCAGTCGAAGCTCATCTAACTCATTCAATTGAAGAAGTCTTGCTTCACCGGCCTTTTCTAAGTCTAAATTGATCTCCTTGACAGCCCATTGTTAAAGGTATTCCATTTCGACCGGTAAATGACATGTCTTGCCATACACCAACCAATACGGAGTTGTCCCTAACGGAGTCTTGTAGGCCGTTGCAATGCCCACAATGTATCGTCCAACTTCAATGACCAATCTTTGCGGGACTTGTTGACAACCTTTTCAAGGATTCTCTTGATTTGTCGATTGGATAACTCAACTTGGCCACTCGTTTGAGGATGATTGGCCAAACCAACCTTGTGGGAAACCCCATGTTTCTTGAGAAGAGCCTTAAAAGTTCGTTGATGGAAAGAGAACCACCATCACTAATAACAACTCTTGGGAATCTGAAACGCGGGAAGATGATCTTCTTAAATAACTTCATAACGACCTTTGAATCGTTATTTGGTGACGCAATAGCTTCGACCAACTTAGTGACATAATCGACGGCAACCAAAATGTACCAATTCCCACCAGAGGAAGAGAATGGTACCATAAAATCAAGTCCCCATACATCAAAAGGCTCAACCTCAAAAATTCCATTTTGTGGCATCTCTTGCCTCTTCGATATATTCCCTGTTCTATGACACTCATCACATGCATTGCAAAATATACGAGTGTCCTTGCAAAATGATGGCCAACAGAAACCACATTGAAGTACTCGATAAGCAGTCGCAGTAGAACCAAGATGTCCACTGGAAGGTAGATTATGGAAATGATAAAGGATACCATGAGTATTTCAATCTGCTACACATCTTTGAAACATCCCATCAGCACACTTATGATAGAAAAATGGATCATCCCAAAAATACCGCGTAGTATCATGGTAAAACTTCTTGCGTTGTTGGTAAGTCAAATCAGTGGGATGTGAGCCACCTACACAAAAATTAGCATAGTTAGAATACCATGGAGATATAGAAGAAACGGAGAATAAATGATCATCAGGGAAAGAGTCATTTATAGAGATATTTGAAGTAGACTGCAATCTTAATCGAGAGAGGTGGTCTGCACCAACGTTCTCTACGCCCTTTTTATCTCGAATCTCTGAATCGAACTCTTGGAGGAGCAAGATCCATCGAATTATCCTCGATTTAGCCTCTTTCTTTGCGAAGAGATACTTCAGAGCGGCATGGTTAGTGTGGATGATCACCTTCGAACCAATGAGGTAAGTTCGAAACTTGTCAAGAGCATACACAATAGCTAGGAACTCTTTCTTTGTGGTGGCATAATTCATCTGAGCCTCATCCAAGATTTTACTAGCATAGTAAATGGCATGCAAAACCTTATTCTTTCGTTGTCCAAGCACAGCTCCCACATCATAGTCACTCACATCACACATGATCTCGAATGGAAAATCCCAATCTAGAGGTTGTATGATTGGAGAAGTTATCAATGCCTCCTTAATCTTGTTTAAAGACTCCATACAAGCATCAGTAAACTCAAATGTGGCATCCTTAAGAAATAATTGAGTGAGGGGTTTCGCCATTTTCGAAAAATCTTTTATAAATAGGCGATAAACCGTGCATGACTAAGAAAACTTCTCACTCCCTTGACATTTACGGGAGGCGGATGTTTCTCAATCACCTCAATTTTTGCTTTGTCAACTTGGATGCCACGATCAGAAATAAGATGACCAAGTACCACTCCTTCATTGGCCATGAAGTGGCACTTTTCCCAATTCAAGACCAAATTGACGTCAGTACAACGTTTAAGAACCTTAGAAAGATATGCAAGCACATATCAAAGTTAGAACCATAAACACTGAATTTAAGATGGGGTAGATGATGCCCGCGTCAAGAAGTTTCATTACCTCTTTCTTCACCACCTCTTGCATATTAGGATTCAATCGACGGTGTGGTTAGATGCAAGGGCGATGATTCTCTCCCAAATTGATTCTATGCATACAAAAATTAGGACTTATCCCTATAAGATCATCGTGAAAGGAATGGTGTCCTTCGAACAAGTGTATTATTCTGATAGCGGGTTCAGAATTATTAGAAAGCTAATATATTCAGTAAGGTCAAGTGATCGGAATGCCTAGGTGGAGGCCGCTTCCGATCAGTAATATTAATATAATTAATATTACAGCTTAATCTTGACTTAACCCTTCGGGTCACACCCAAGCAAAATATACGAACCGACTCAACGAATTAATTCGGAAGAAATTAATTCGTCGCCCGAGTGTTAAATATTTAGACGTCGGTAATTCGAGCTTGAAGCGTCGAAACCGATCGTCGGAAGTCGAGTCAGAAATAATAAAAAGACGAGACGCGCAAAATAATAATAAATCGACCATAGTCCCAAAATACCCCTAGTATCGGAAAGCCCCGAGCATCCGAATGCTAGGGGCAAAAATGTCCAAGCATAGGTGGCTAGAAAGCGCACCAAGTCGAGCCTGGCATGGTTGGCTAGGTGTGTGCTAGCGCACCGTGCTAGTAGCCACGCACAGCAGCAGCTAGCAGCCGCGTGCATGTGGTGCGTGCAGCAGCTAGCTGCCACAAGCTAGGCGTGCTAATAGCGCACGCACTAGCAGCCACGCACAGCAGCAGCCCGCATCTTGGTGCGGGGCTGGGCTTGGGTTGGGCTCGTGGCTGGGCCATAGGGTCGGTCACTATGGGGAAGATTGAGGAATATGGGAGCAAGTGGGTAAGGACATGTGGCACAAGGAGAGTATTGAGTGGGGAGCAAGTATGGTCCCCTACTCTCCATGTGGTCCTCACCAACCCATTTCACATGGTAATGCCACTTTTAGATTTATTATTAGTTTGCAATTTTAATTTAATTTAGCTTTAAATTAATTTGTGGAATTACATGATCCCACATTGATGGGATAGAAATTCCCGCTCATACTTTCCTATATAAATACCAACCTTGGGATTTGGAGTAAAGTGCTTGAGTGGGAGTTAGAAAGAGCATTCCATATTTTGGAAAAACTCTTAAACTCCATTAACACTTGGGTTCTGGTCGGACCTTGCTAACTCCGAGGTAGCGGACCTAAAAAGTCGTGTTCGTCCTTTGTGGGTGGATACCGTTGGAGGCACGGCATTTGCGGTGCTCAAAGCTTTCAAGTAAGAGCCCGTTTTGAGAGGGCGAAGCTCGCTTCAAGGGTATGATTTGTTCTTCCTTTTCTTTTGTTTATTTATTTATGCTTTATGGTTTTATTAATTACGAGTGGTTCCTTGGGTCGGGGTTGTTTCCGCGGTGAGTCGGACTCACCAAACCCCAACAGCGGTATCGGAGCCCCGCTCGTTTATTTTTATAATCATATATTTCAAGGTTTATTTTGGCTTATTTTTCTGGTTTAAGTTGCTAATTAGATTAGTAGCTCGGTTTTATTTATTTAAATCCCGTTTTTAATGTCGAATTTTGCCCAGAACCAAGATGTTCGCCCTAAAATAGTGAATTTTGGGTGGAAAAGGTATTTTGGAAAGGTTTTAACCATTTGGGGCTGTGATTTTAGCCAAATTCTGACCAGAAATGCCTTTTTCGAGGGATTTTTCGTTTTTAACGAAAAAATTTAAGTCTTTTCTAACCTTGAAATTAATGGCATAACTTGTTGATTATGTGGTTGATTATTTGCATTATTTTCTACATTTTTAAGTCCCCTTAAAGCACACTTACTTGGTAGTACTTGATACTTAAAGGTTGATTTATTTTCACATAATTGCAAACTAATTGCTTTTTAGTGTCAAAATTTTTGTTTTGAGGCTTCCTAAGTGTTACAGATTCAATCTTTATTTGTGATAAGTGATTGAAACTTTAAAAACCACTAAATTCCATGTTATTTTGTGTTAAACTTTGTTGTTTTAATTATTTAGAGTTGATTAGAAACATAAAGTTTCAATTTTTGTGATAGAAATTTGGTTATCTTCATGTTGGAAGATATAATTTTCAAGAATTCACAAAATTTAGATGTTGGAATTTTCATTTGAACATTAAAGTTCATATTTTTTCAACTTCCCCTTACTTTGTCAAATTCTCAACTTAAATTTAAATTGATTAAATTAAAAGTGAGAAATTTCCTCAACTTTGTTATTGCACCAAGCTAAACCAATTTAATTAAGAATGGTTCTTGGAATTATTTTGGTTATTTGCACTTTGAAATTTTATTAAGTTAGACTTGTTTAAAATTTTTATTTTTTGCTCATTAAGTTAGTTCTAAAATTAATTTATAATTAATTAATTATGTCTCGCGAAATGGGATCAAATCCCGAGGCCATGGCACGCAAAACGAGGCAAAGAACCACCCTAGGCTAGCCGGGCTGCATAGCAGCCCGCATGTGGCTGCCAAGGTGGCTACCCCGCCTTGCGTGCAGCCACACGGGCGGCAGCAGCACACGGCCGCAGCAACCACGCACCAGCAGCCATGGTTGTGCGTGCGTGCGTGCAGCAGTGGCAGCAGCCCATGGCTGCTTGCCGCGAGCCGTGTGCGGAGTTTTTTGTGTGTGCATATGCTTGGTGCGGTGAGGTGAATATCCGTAGTATGCTTGGTTTGCATGAGCCGCGATTATTCTAGTTTCCTTGGCAAAACACTTAAAGCGAAAGCCACTTGAAATGCGGTTGGCTTAATATTGCTTATTTTTCCGTTTTATTTATTTTAATTAATTTTGTTTATTTTAATTAAAATTTTGGGAGGCTAGGCTTCGGTTTTGAGCGGCATTGGCAAAATTTTATTTTGACAAGTTTGGGTGCTACCGACTTAATTAATTAGATTAATTAAGGGAAATGCGGAATTTAGTGGGAGCTTCAATTATTAATGACGTCAATTACATAATCGATTAAACAACTTTGACTAGTTTTAATTAGGCGTGTTAATCGGATTAACCACCTAGATTAGTTACTAGTGCGCGCGTTGTTTAAATGCATTTTACTTGTTTGATATTGTAAATTGCATGGGCTATTCACAAATAGTGAATAGATGAATGGCATATATATTCTCTCTCACAGGTTTTATGAAATGACAACTAGTGGGACCCGATTAGGATAGAAAATACGGACTATGTGCCGTTATGTATTTTTGTAAATCTAAATACGGTCTACGCACCGTTAAGTATTTTTGTACCTTAATATTAAGATTATTCCTAGTCGTAGACACTAGTATTTGCATAGTTTGGTTAAATCTTGAAGACGGCGTATCTTGTAAGACAAAGCCTTGAATTGCAAATGAAGACCTTTTGAAGATTTGAAGAATTCAAGGGGTCATGCTAGTTGCCAATATGCATCTATAAATTCGCTTTATATTTTATGCTTATATACATGTGAATTATTCGTTAGATGCATATTTAGGTTTTCTTTATGTTGCGATGATTAGTTAAGTTCACTTAAATCAACCAACATAGAAATCCTAGGTCCCTAATAATATTGAGTCAAACTTGCCTTTCCAAAACAACACTTACCAACCGAACGAGGGTGATGGTAGGCTATGCCAAAGCGAGGTGCCATCACCTCTCCAAGGCTCATAAGGCACACCGGGTGTGCACGTTGGTTTTGGTTTAACTCATTGGTATGAGTGAGGAGTCCTCACATACCGTGGCAAAAGAGATACATCGTCAAAGATGCATTATATGTGACGATTGTCTAACCAAGAGTGGCTTAGAGCCATTAGCAAGGCAATGCTTACCCTAGAAGATTGAGTGTTAAGACAAGCCAAAGCATTCTTAACCACTCTTTGTTTCTTCGGATCTTGGAATCGCCTTATTTTCACAAAATAGGGACAATTTTACGTGTAAATAAGACGTTAAATAAGTATTGAAAATTTGCGTGAAAAAAATCAATCTTATTTAAGTAATTTTGAATGGTTTTTCATTAAAATTCTTTCAATTGTAGAATCATGTCTTCAACCTCAAACAACCAGTTTTCATTACGCTCAATTCTCGATAAGGAGAAGTTGAGTGGTACAAATTTCCTTGATTGGCAAAGGAATTTGTGCATCGTTCTTATGCAAGAACACAAAAAGAGTATGTCCTTGATGAGGAAATGCCCGAGGCTCCCAATGAGGAGGTAACTCAAGCAGCCCTTAACCGATGGCAAGTAGCCGATCGGGATGTCAAGTGAGTAATGCTAGCCACTATGTCTCCTGAACTTCAGAAAACCTTCTTCGAGAAGGAATCGACCTATGAGATTATTTCTGAGTTAAATAATATGTTTCAAGAACAGGCTCGAACTGAAAGGTTTGAAACCCACAGGCAGATCCTTGAGACTAAGCTCAAGAAAGGAGAGCCAGTCAGCCCACATGTGCTCAAAATGATCGGATTATTTGAGAACATGGGAAGGTTTGATGCGGGGTATTCAACTGAAATGGCTATTGACATCATTCTCCATTCCCTTCACAAAGTCTATGACCAGTTCAAGATGAACTACAACAAGCATAGCATGGAGAAAACCCTCACCGAGCTTCATGGGATGTTGAAGCAAGCTGAGTAGACGCTCAAGGATGAGGGAAGGCATGATATGCTAATGATTAAGAAGGGCAAGCCATTCAAAAGGGCGGGCAAAAAGAAGAAGGGCTTCAAGGGGAAAGGAAAGAAGAACTTTCCGCCTAAGCCGAAAGCTACCAAAGACAACAAGGAGAAAAAGGTAGCATCTTCTAAGTCTGATTCTGAATGCTTCTATTGTAAGAAGAAGGGACATTGGAAGAGAGACTGCCTCAAATTCAAGGAAGATAAGAAGAACGGAACCGTTGCTTCTACATCAGGTATTTACGTTATAGACTTTAACTTCACTAGCTCGGCTTCATGGGTATTAGATACCGGCTGTGGCTCACACCTTTGTTCCGATTCACAAGCACTAAGAAACACTAGGAGGCTAGCGAAGGGAGAGATCGAGCTTCGGGTAGGAAATGAAGCAAGGATTGGTGCTATATCCGTAGGATCTCTTAGTTTGTCTTTGCCCACGGGGCTAGTTTTGGAACTTGACAATGTTTATTGTGTTCCCAACATTACCAAAAACATCATTTCAATTTCGGCATTAGACGTCAAAGGTTTTGAATTTCGAGTTAAGGACCAATCATGTTCATTTTATCTCGATAATGTTTTATATGGTACGGCACATTCAGAAAATGGTCTTTATGTGTTATCTCTAGACAAAGAATTTATAACGTTAATAATCCTGCAAAGAAAGCTAAGACTACACCGTCTAGTCAAACTTACTTGTGGCGTTGTCGTCTTGGCCACATTAACATCAAACGCATCAAGAAGCTTCTTCAAGAAGGTATTTTGACTCATTTGATTTAGAATCCTTTGAGAATTGCGAAGGATGTTTATTAGGCAAGATGATAAAGCAACCATTCTCCAAGTTGGGAGAAAGGGTCGGTGACTTGTTGGGAGTAATACACACCGATGTATGTGGGCCAATGAGTACACCCGCAAGGAGTGGTTATCGGTATTTCATAACCTTCACGGATGACTATAGTAGATATGGTTATGTCTATCTAATGTCGCACAAATCTGAATCGTTGGATAAATTCAAGGAATTTTAGAGCGAAGTTGAAAACCAACTCGGCAAGAAAATCAAAGCGCTTCGATCGGATCGAGGTGGCGAATATTTGAGCCAAGAATTCGATGACCATATGAAAGAACATGGAATACTTTCAGAGTTGACACCTCCGGGAACTCCTCAATGGAATGGAGTATCTGAAAGGAGGAGTCGAACCCTGTTAGACATGGTCCGATCGACTATGGGTCTTAGTGAATTCCAATCTCTTTCTGGGGACATGCACTTTTACCTGCGGCACTTACACTGAATCGTGCTCCGTCAAAGGCAGTGGAAAAGACTCCATATGAATTATGGACAAATAAACCTCCAAGGTTGTCTTTTCTCAAGATTTAGGGATGCGAAGCATATGTCAAGAAACTCATTTCTGACAAACTTTATCCGAAATCTGACAAGGTTTACTTTGTGGGTTATCCAAAAGAAACCAAAGGGTATTACTTCTACAACAAATCCGAGAACAAAGTGTTTGTTGCTCGTGATGGTGTCTTTTTGGAGAAGGAGCATCTCTCCAAAATGACAAGTGGGAGGAAAATCGAACTCGCCGAAGTTCGAGAGGACGAGCAACAAGGACAAGTTGACAATCAAAGTGCTCACGAAGCATCTGTTGACATTGGTCAAAGTCAAAATATGCAAAGTCAAACCGACAATGCAAATGCTCAGTCCATCACCCTACGTAGGTCAACTCGGCCAAGATCTCAACCTGAGAGATATCTCGGTGTTGTATTAACCGAAGAACAAGACATCCTAGTAGTGGATGGAGATGAGCCGGCAACCTACAAGCAAGCTATGACGAGCCTCGACTCTACAAAATGGAAAGAGGCCATGAAATCCGAAATGGACTCCATATTTGAAAATCAAGTATGGGACTTGGTTGATTTACCCGTAGGTTACACACCTATCGGATGTAAATGGATTTTTAAGATGAAAACCGACAAAGATGGAAATGTATTCATTTACAAAGAATGGCTGGTATCAAAAGGTTACAGGCAAATTCACGGCATTGATTATGATGAAACCTTTTCTCCAGTAGCTATGCTTAAGTCCGTTCGAATTCTTCTAGCGATTGCTGCATATTACAATTATGAAATATGGCAGATGGACGTCAAAACCGCCTTCCTCAATGGAATTTTGGAAGAAACTGTGTACATGACACAGCCTAAAGGTTTTGTCGACCAGAACAATCCTAAGAAGGTATGCAAGCTTAAGAAGTCCAGTTATGGATTAAAGCAAGCAAGCAGAATTTGGAATCTGCGATTTGATGAAGCCATCAGTAAGTTTGGTTTTATCAAGAATCCAGATGAGTCTTGTGTTTACAAGAAGGTCAGTGGGAGTGACATCGCCTTCCTAGTCTTATATGTCGATGACACTTTTCTCATTGGAAATAGCATTCCGTTGTTAGAGTCTGTAAAGGCTTGGCTCGGGAAATGTTTTTCAATGAAAGACTTGGGAGAGGCTCAGTACATACTAGGCATCAAGATCTATAGGGATAGATCAAAGAGGATGATAGGAATGAGTCAAAGTACTTACATCGATAAGGTACTAGCTCGATTCCAAATGAAAGGAGCCAAGAGAGGGCACCTACCCATGTCACATGGCATAACCTTAAGCAAGAAGCAGTGTCCAAAGACACCTGATGAGCGAGAAAGGATGAGTCGTATTCCATATGCTTTGTTTATTGGATTGATCATGTTTGCCATGATATGTACTAGGCCGGACGTATCGTATGCCTTGAGTGCTAGGAGCCGATACCAATCAGACCCAGGAGAGGCGCATTGGACTGCGGCCGAGAATATTCTGAAGTACCTGAAAAGGAACAAGGATAAATTCCTGGTCTATGGCGGTAAAGATGAATTGGTTGTTGACGGATATACCGACGCAAGCTTCCAGACAAACAGAGACGACTCCAAGTCACAATCCGGATACATATTCTATCTCAATGGAGGAGCGTTTAGTTGGAAGAGTGCAAAGCAAAGCACAACCGCTGATTCTACAACTGAAGCCGAGTACTTGGCAGCGTATGAGGCAGCCAATGAGGCAGTTTGGATTCGCAAGTTCATTGATGAACTTGGTGTTGTACCCTCCATCAAGGGTCCAATAGACCTCCATTGTGACAACAATGGAGCTATTGCTCAGGCTAGAGAGCCACGAGAACATCAGAAGGTCAAACATGTCAAGAGGCGATTTCACATGATTCGAGAATGGAAGACAGAGGGTGAAATCAGAATTTGCAAAGTGGAAAAGATGACAATGTAGCTGATCCACTTACTAATACTAGTAGAAAAAGGCTCATTTGCGTCGCCATATTTGCGTCACTCATTCTAAAGAACGAAGCAAATGTGTATTTTTACCATCCTTTAAAGTTATTTGCGTCTCTTGTTATTAAAGAAGCGACGCAAAAGTCAAGTGTATGTTAGCTTTCTATCATTTGCGTCGCTTTTATTTATAGAAGCGACGCATATAATAAACATATTTGCGTCACTCATTTATTGTTAAGTGACGCAAATAAGGTTGTGAATAAATTGCGTCACTCTTTTAATAAATGAGCGACGCAAATAACAAATTTTCAGCATTTCAGATTTTGCTATTTGCGTCGCATTTTTATTATAAAGTGACGCAAATAACTCTGATGCATTTTAGGTTGTTCATTCTGCGCTTTTTTACCTTAGCTTTTCACGCCTACCTTTCACTAATTCACTAAACAAAAAGAAAAAACACCCATAATCGCAAATTCGCAATCAAGTTCAACACCCACAATCGCAATCAAATTCGCCCAAAAAACACCCAGCAAATTCGCCCAAAAAACACCCACAAATTCGCCTAAAAAACTGCAATTCCTCAGCAAATTCAACATCCAAAATCGCAATCAAGTTCAACACCCATAATCGGCAGCAAATCCGAGCAATTTCGAGCGAAAATTTAGACCAAAAACCCTAATTAATTCGAACCCTTAAACCCCAGAAAAATTGATTATTTTCGACCAAAAATCCCCCATTTCGAGCAAAAAATGTATTCAATTCCATACGAATTCGAACCCTAGAAACCCCAAAAAATTCAATTAAAAATCTTGCTGAAAAAATTCGAGCAATATCTGAAATTTTCGAGTGGAAAAATCGCTTAATTTTGCCCCCAAAAACCCGAGGAAGTTCAAGCAAATTACAACAATGTTGAATTTTTGAATTTTCGAGTGGAAAAATCGCTTAATTTTCGCCCCCAAAAATCGATTTCGGCTCGACATTGTTGAATTTTTGAAGTCAATTTCACCTATGGTAAGATTGCCTCTATTTATGTTCAATCTTTTAATGGTAGATACAATGTAGCATTTAACTTGAACAATGACTTAGTTTAATTTCAGGTTTAGTGTTAGTTCACTAATTAGAAATTATATGGCAGATTTAATTGAATTTTTACAATTTCAGTCATTGAATTTTCATTGAGGCTCATCTCAATTCTACTGGTTTAATATATTCACCTGCATGTTTTCAGCTAGTACATTTAGTTTGTAGATTTTTACAGTTGCTGTTTTGCAATATACTACTGGTTGCTTGTTTGCATCTTTGAACAGTCTGTAGAATAGCATAGTACTAATATAGTAATATTCCTCCTTGTGGAAGCTGAATCACTACAAGATGCATCCGCAATTGTACTGTCACAGCATGCCTGCAGAGACATGAATGCTACAGAATGGAAATTCTAATGTTCTTGACAGTGTCCTTAGGACGCTGCAACTTGTTATGATAAAATGTAAGGGAGTTCTAACACACACCACTTTTGATTTCCCAATCACAATTGCAAATATCACCGACAGTAGTTAATGTGTATAAAAAGTAGTGCTTTTCATGTGCTGATAGTTAAGCTCTAAGTTTCATAAATCACAGTAATAATAGTATATTAATAGTATGTGCTTGTTGTTAGTACTATGATGCTCATTGTTTTTCCGTTGCAATTGATTTTATCTATGCCTTTCTATATTCTTGGGTTTTAATTACATAAATTATTATGTACCCCAAGTGTGTTCAAGAATAAAAGAAATGTATGTTAAATCGCAAGTTTAGCAATACATAAAAATGCTTTGTGGGAAAAAAGAAGGGTTCTTTTGGTCTTATGCATGGCTAAGCGTGAAGTCATCATCTTTGATTCTTTGAGGTGGAAGCGAAATTTAGCAATTAAGTTTGCAATGACAAAGTAAGTCTAGTTTGTTATTAATGTCATGATTTTATGTGTGTAAGGGTAATATATATATTATTTATTTCAAATGTGTAGTGCTTTTCGAAGTTTTAAGGCATTAAGTGGACAATCTAGGGGAAGTAAATTGACATGGCATTTGGGACAGGTTACCTTAATTTCTTACCCTAACTTTTAGTTTCCTAATAATTGAAGTATAGCAATTTAATTCAACTTACAAATATATTACATGTAGTGTCCTCAACAATTGGGTGGACGTGAGTGTGGCTACTACGTCATGCGTTATATGTACGAAATACTTGAACATCACCATAGCAGTGAAGATCTTATTCAGGTATGAGTTGTCAAATATTTCATTTTTGTTTGATAAATACAATTTGATGTTAGATACAATCTTGAATTAAAACTTTCCTCTTGTATATTTGTTGTGTTGATAGGATTTTTCAAGAACTACACCGTACACCGAGGAGGAGATAAATGAGATCCGAGATATTTGGGCAGAGTATTTTATATGTAATGTTGAACTTTAGATTTACCACTTAGCGCATGTTTGACTCTTGTTTTGGATTATAGGCTTGAAAAGTAATTAGGTTAGTTGGTGTTGGGATGATGAGTATAATGTCTATGATATTGAGATGTAAATTAATGGACAGGTTGTTAATATAATGCCGTCATTCCCAATTTTATGGGTAGGCCATATTACAAAGGAGACTCTGCCGAAATTTACATTTGCATTTCAATAATATTGCATTTTAATTTCAGTTATATTAGCGTTAGCATATTACTTTATACCACTACTAAGGAAAACAGGTACTACAAACATATACAAGGCAATTATTATATTATAATTAAAAAAAAAAAATTCACCTCATTTGCGTCACTCATTAAACAAACAAGTGACGCAAATACAACAGTTTTGTATTATCTACTCAGTCATTTGCGTCACTCCTATATAAAAAAGTGACGCAAATAACAAAAAATAAGTTTATCAGAAGAGTCATTTACGTCGCTCTTTTATAAAGGAGTGACGCAAAGAACAAAAAAGAAGTTTATCAGAAAAGTTATTTGCGTCACTCTTTTATAAAGAAGTGACGCAAATAACAAAAAATAAGTTTATCTGAAAAAGTTATTTGCGTCGCTCCTTTATAAAGGAGTGACGCAAATAATAAAAAATAAGTTTATCAGAACAGTCATTTGCGTCGCTTGTTTATAAAGGAGCGACGCAAATGACAAAAAATAAGTTTATCAGAAAAGTTATTTGTGTCGCTTGTTTATAAAGGAGCGACGCAAATGACAAAAAATAAGTTTATCAGAAAAGTCATTTGTGTCGCTTGTTGATAAAGAAGCGACGCAAATGACTCTTATTTGCGTCGCGCCTAGAAGCGACGGAAATGACTTAAAAGTCATTTGCGTCGCGAGCAGTTGCATCGCTCATAGAAGCGACGCAAATACACTATAAATGAGCGACACAAATGAGCCTTTTTCTACTAGTGTAAACCCTTGTCTCAAGTGAAGCACAACAAACACATTGAGGCAATGGGAATCAAGCATGTCGCGAACTGGCTTTGATTTCCATATTATAGTGTTTTAATTAAATTTTGGACAATGTTAATGTAAAGCACTATGATGAACCATTCAGTTTTTGGAGTAATTAAAATTTTTCATGCAATTTAATTCACTCCGTCTCTATTTAATTGTGGTTTAGAATTAAATAATGAGTCCTTCGATTTTAATAAATATTCAAAATAGAGTATCAAGTCAATGGCTTGGATAAAGAAACACCTATTAAGTGAACATTGAATATTTTAATCAAAAATTATCCCTAATCAAGGTCATATTTTTTGTGGACGATTAATGATCATTAGAGATTAGTGTGTAGTATGATTTAAAGCACCGTTTCTTGTGCTATGAGGATATAAATCATTTGCACAGGTATTGGTTTAGAACCATACTGGATCAACCTATGAGAATACTTTAAGAGATTTAAAATCGTCATAAGTATTTATCTTATTATTACTATCGGAACTCTTTTCCTAGACCATGAGTAGTGGGAGGTCTCTTGTTTGAGTACTAGTCCGCTTTGGTATCCGCCAAACGTCTTCCGTAACCGGGGATTATAACGACAGATATCGGGCGGCTAGGTCCTCTTAGTAAGAGAAGCTACATTACAAGACTAGAAATGTCTCCCTACTAACAATAGGGAACATTTCTTGTTGTTTACAAGGCATCTCGAAGACCGAGACTATGAAAATGCATGGTCGTGCTCAGATGGATTTTAGAAATCACCTACTTATTGACAGTCAAACTCGGATTTCGAGAAACACTTCTGGACGTAACAGAGATGACGAGCAATCTTACTTTGTAGTTCATGAAGAGACATGAAGAGACATAGGAAAGGGGTTATACACTAAATGCACACTTGTCAGGAAGGACAAGTGGGATATTGAAAGGAATGGTGTCTTTCGAACAAGTGTATTATTCTGATAGCGGGTTCAGAATTATTAGAAAGCTAATATATTCAGTAAGGTCAAGTGATCGGAATGCCTGGGTGGAAGCCGCTTCCGATCAGTAATATTAATATAATTAATATTACAGCTTAATCTTGACTGAACCCTTCGGGTCACACCCAAGCAAAATATACGAACCGACTCGACGAATTAATTAGGAAGACGAGTGTTAAATATTTAGACGTCGGTAATTCGAGCTTGGAGCGTCGAAACCGATCGTCGGAAGTCGAGTCGAAAATAATAAAAAGACGAGACGCGCAAAATAATAATAAATCGACCATATTCCCAAAATACCCCTAGCATCGGAATGCCCCAAGCATCCGAATGCTAGGGGCAAAAATGTCCAAGCATAGGTGGCTAGCAAGCGCACCAAGCCAATCCTAGCATGGTTGGCTAAGTGTGTGCTAGCGCACCGTGCTAGCAGCCACGCACAGCAGCAGCTAGCAATCGCGTGCACGTGGTGCGTGCAGCAGCTAGCTGCCACAAGCTAGGCGTGCTAGCAGTGCACGCACTAGTAGCCATGCACAGGAGCAAGCCCGCACCAAGTGCGTGGCTTGCGCGCACAGCAGCTGCCCGCATCTTGATGCGGGGCTGGGCTCGTGGCTGGGCCATAGGGCCGGTCACTATGGGGAAGCTTGAGGAATATGGGAGCAAGTGGGTAAGGACATGTGGCACAAGGAGAGTATTGAGTGGGGAGCAAGTATGGTCCCCTACTCTCCATGTGGTCCTTACCAACCCATTTCACATGGTAATGCCACTTGTAGATTTATTATTAGTTTGCAATTTTAATTTAATTTAGCTTTAATTTAATTTGTGGAATTACATGATCCCACATTGATGGGATAGAAATTCCCACTCATACTTTCCTCTATAAATACCAACCTTGGGATTTGGAGTAAAGTGCTTGAGTGAGAGTTAGAAAGAGCATTCCATATTTTGGAAAAACTCTTAAACTCCATTAACACTTGGGTTTTGGTCGGACCTTGCTAACTCCAAGGTAGCGGACCTAAAAAGTCGTGTTCGTCCTTTGTGGGTGGATACCGTTAAAGGCACGACATTTGCGGTGCTCAAGGCTTTCAAGTAAGAGCCCGTTTTGAGAGGGCGAAGCTCGCTTCAATGGTAAGATTCGTTCTTCCTTTTCTTGTGTTTATTTATTTATGCTTTATGGTTTTATTAATTACGAGTGGTTCCTTGGGTCGGGGTTGTTTCCGCGGTGATTCGGACTCACCAAACCCCAACACATCGATGCTTTACCCTATTTCCTTTTTATGCATGCGAAGCACAGTCAAAAGCTTAGAAACTTTAATATCATCGAGTCTAGCACTAACAATTACAGGGAATTCCTCATTATCATCAAGAAATGCATATTTAAGATGAGAAGGCAAAGGTTTTAACTCTACATTCTTTACTTGTGACTCAGAAGTAGAACAAATAGTTTCCATTACCTCAAACCCCTCAGTGTTAGGGGCATCAAAGTCACGAATCAAGGAGTCAATCTCTGCATCTCCTTCTCCTTTAGAAACCTCCAGGGTACGAACAGCTTCGAATATATCATTAGCTAACTCACGAGGTGTATCATCTCTCACAAGCTCATCAAGCATATCAATCCTGCAACAAGTATTCTCAAGCATAGGCGACTTCATCACATTGGTTGGATTAAAAGTCATTGTATCATCACCAACAGAAAAAGTAACAGACCTAGACTTGACATCAATAACAGTACGTTCAGTACACAAGAAAGGTCTGCCTAAAATGATCGGGATATTTCTATCCTCCTCCATATCCAGAACTACAAAGTTAACAGGAATGAAAAATTTCCCAACCCAAACGGGGACATCCTCCAAAACACCTAAAGGGTATTTTATAGAACGATCCGCCATTTGCAAGGTGATTTGTGTGCATTTTAAAGCTCCCATATTCAACCTGTTACAAACAGAGAGAGGCATAACAGACACACTAGCACCTAAGTCACATAAACCTTTATCAATGAATTATGCACCTACATGACATGGGATGGAAAAACTACCAGGGTCCTTAAGCTTAGGTGGGGATTTATTTTGCAATATAGCACTACACTCTACAGTTAGAGTAACTGTTTCTACACCACCGAAGTCTTTCTTCTTAGTAATAATTTCCTTTAAAAACTTTGCATACATCGGTACTTGAGATACTAAATAAGTAAAAGGAACGATTACCTCAAGGTTCTTGACCAAATTCAAGAACTTACCAAATTGTTGATCTATCTTGGTCTTTTGCATTCGATGTGGGAATGGCAGCTTTGGTTCGATGGATGGAGGCTCGGAACCTTTCTTTTTCTCTTTCTCAGCATCACTTGTTTTAGCCTTCCCATCCTTCGAGGTGGGAACATCATCCAAGGCCTTCTCTACAACCTCACTCTTCTCCTCTCAAGATTGGCATCGTTAATAGGAATTTGGGGCCCTTCATAGCTAACACCACTACGAGTAGTGACAGCATTGGCGGTCTCCTTGGGGACAGGTTGTCCCGGTAAGTGGCCAGTTTGCCTTTGGATATTGGTACCTGCGACTTGTGCAAGTGTTTTGTTTCATGGATGTCATCATTCTCATAAGGTCAGACATAGTCAGCTCTTGAGTGCTAGCATTTCCATGAGTAGGTTGTTGAGGTGGTCTATTGAAACCCGGAGCAACATGATGACAGGCTCCTTGTTGATTGAGTGGAGGCCTTGCAACATATTATTAAGGCTGAGGACACTATTGCTGAGGTGGAGGATTTTGAACATTATTACTTTTATATGAAAAGTAAGGATGATTCCTCCAACCTGGATTAAATGTGTAAGAATATGGGTCATTTGGTTGCCTTTGTTGAAAGGCATTCACCTGCTCCATCAGATTGGTATCTTGAGAATTCTGAGCACATTGATATCCAAAGTGACCCTGTATACCGCACAATTCACAAAAAAAAATTTAGTTTGTAGAGGTTGAGAAGACATAGCATTAACAGATACAAGAGAGGAGTACTAAGTAGCCTGTAACGCATCAATCTTTGCAGTTAATTGAGCCATCATAGAAGTCAAGATTGAATAGGCTTCAACTTCCATCTTCCCTTTCTTTGCTCGCGTTCTTGGAGAAGAGAAATGATTGGCTGCAAGATTTGCAAGAAAATCATACCCTTCCTGTATCGTCTTGTCAAGGGAACACACCACATGCGGCAGAGTCAACAA